GTACATCTGTCTTTCACCGGGGCTGGAATGATGAAGGCCCTTTTGAAATGCTCTGGGTTGGAATCATCACAGCCTGCCCTTGTCATTCCAGTGTTGGCCATCTCCTGAAGGSATTTCACAGAGGGCACAGCCCCTCCTCAAAGCCATCATCACCTGTGAATCCCACATTCCTGCTGGATTTCAGAGCACAGTCACTGTCCTTGCTGGGAAAGGCTTCATGTGACATTTGCACTTCTGGAAGAAAAGCCTGACACTGAGGGAACCTTGTCTTTGCTTACCAGGAGGCTGTGCCTTGGCAGAGGTCACTCAAAGCCAGAATCACAAACAATTCCCATTTCAGGACAGAGCTCAGGACACAAAGGAAAAAGCCCARTAAGATATTCAAACCCCCAGGTTTGTGCACAGAGGTGAACTAAGRCACAAAGGGAAATCTGCAGCTTTCATTTCCATTCCAAATCCCTTTAAGGATATCTGTGCCATCACTCCTATTTGTAAATGGTTCATTTTCAATGACAACACAATCCAGATTTGRAACTCAGTGCCCTGGACCTGGACAYGGGAGCTTGGGCAACSCTGACACCTCTGCCTCATTTTTGTAATAAAGGTCATTAATGACACAGATCCTGCTTGGTTAATAACCTGGGAAAACTGCAGCAGCTAGTTAGGAAGCTTCCTTTGTGCTAAAAACTTTTCCAGAGCAGGCTTTATTTTGCAACAAGCACATGTGCAGAACCAATGCCACCCTGCTCAAAGTGCAGAGAGAGCAGAGCTGGGCACAGCAATATTTGTGTGAGCTGTGACAGCCTGCACACAGCTCGAGAACGCTCACARCCCTGAGTGCTGCGGTTTTGCTGAGAATTCTGACATTTTCCAAATGCCTGCACACAGCTGGCTGTGGCACAGCCCTGCCAGGGGGACAGCAACTGCKGGCAGGAATTCTCCAGAGCGATGGGAAGATAAGGCACTCCATGAACTAATGTGCAGGGAGTTGCAGCGAGTTCACATGAGTCATCTGGGTGGGGATGGCAGTGTCTGGCCAAGGCGATAAGTGCATCCCCCACCTCCCACACACAGGGTGTTATTCAGACATCACCTGATCCTCCTGGTGACTGCAGAGCCTCAAAAACGGGGGCCTTTGTTCCTGGGAATCACGGCAGCACCCTCAGCATCCTTCCCCCAAACCCTCCGTTTGCTGAATATTAGTGAATATTCACCTTTAAGAGTCATCTTGAATTTTGATGTTTTCTCGTCTAAAAATACTGTGTACAGAAAGGCAGTTTGGAGGATTCCCAGTGTACTGGAAATGGCAGAGCTGGATCTGGACTGTGGCGTTCATCCTGCACGGTCCTGAGCCCACATTAAAAGAAACTGTAGCCTTGAAAATCAATKATTAACTACAGTTCTGTAGTGAATTTTATATTTCTCCACAGACAGAAGCTGATGAAGTTCAAACACATCACTAAGGCAGCAGGAATGTKGGATTCACAGCCTGTCCCCTCCAGCCCCATCCCTGCTTTGGCCAGGAGAGCTTTGCAAACACAGGAATTACAGAGCATTTCTGCTGCCCAGAGCTGTTTTCCCACATCCTGCAGCACCGTCTGTGCCATTAAACCCATCTCAAGGAGGCGGCTCGGGGATGCATTTCCGAGGCTGCTGAAATGCATTTGCCATCTCCTGCCAGGCTGGGCAGGGACAGCAGGGCAGGGATGAGCAGTGGGGTGTGCACATCCTCCACCCCATAACAACCCTACAGCTCCATTCCCTCATCTCCAGCCATTCCCAGCACAGATTCCTCAGATGCCCCGAGCTGACATCGCCTGTCACAGCAGGCACAGCTCCCCTCGCTGATGAAAGGGGATTTTATTCCTGTTTTCAGGGGTGAATTCCAGCCTCTATCAGCAGCCTGGACCTGCAGCTACAAGCCCAGGGCAGCCCRGCCCCACAGGACTCAACCAAACCATCCCAATCCCAGAGGCACCAACATCCCCACACTGGGGACAGGACAGGGTTTGGGGACAGTGCTGGAAATTCAGAGTCACAGCAGCACTGTCACAACACTTAGGAGATTTTACTTTATAGGATCACAGAATCCCAGACTGGTTTGGGTTAGAAAGGACCTTTAGAGCCCATCTCATTCCAACTCCTTCCCTAGCCCAGGCTGCTCAGGTCAGGYCACTGCTGTTTTTTTTAAATTTTGATTTTTTTGATCAATCTTCAGTGCTCTAAATTCAGCTCTGTTTCCAAATGTACCTGTTGACTTCTCTCCTCGTGATGTGTTTTAACTTAATGAGCTTCTGTCTGTGRAGAAATATAAAATTCACTACAGAACTGTAGTTAATCATTGATTTTCAAGGCTACAGTTTCTTTTAATGTGGGCTCAGGACCGTGCAGGATGAAAGCTACAGCTCTGCCATTTCCACTACAGTGGGAATCCTCCAAACTGCCTTTCTACACACAATATTTTTARATGGGAAAACATCAAAATTCAAGATGACTCTTAAGGTTCCTGAATATTCACTAATGAATGCATAAATGCATAAATGAAATTGTCCAGGATTCTTTTGATACCACAGTGCTTAAAATATCTTTAAAGCACCGTGCAAGCAGCACTGGAAACAACTCACAAACTGACAGTGGATATCATTCTAAGTGTCCTGAATTCTTTATTTTTTTTACTGTGGTGTTGGAACAACCCAAATACTAAATGGCACAGGCAACGTTTCAAATCGTATTTCTTTAATGTTTTTCTTTCAGTAACCGAAGGGCAGAAATTCCAGAGTTTTCTCAAGATGTTTTGTTGGRATCAGCTGCAGGTGAAGCCTTTGAGGTGTTTTCTGCCATCCCAGTGGCATTGGAGCACACGATGCTTCCCACCCCGCTCCTAAAAACAGGCACCGAGTGCAGCTGAACGCTGACCCCACAAAACAACCCACGGAGGACGTGCCCCATCTCTGCCACCATCCAAGATGTTACAGTGCCACCTTCAGTCTGAAACCCGGGAAGAAAATCCCTTTAAAAGCCAACCATGCCCTAAGGAGGCTTCCTGGGGATGGATCCATGGGGAGCCAGCAGCTCTGGGGATCAGGGACAGATTTGCTGCTCTCCTTGCTCTGTCCTTGTGCAGAGAGGTTGAGGTTGGGCAYTTTCCTCAATCCCTGGCAGTGCCAAGGCCAGGCTAGACAGGGTTTGGAGCACCCAGGGACAGTGGGAAGTGGTGTCACCCATGGCACAGGTGGCACTGGATGCTCCTAAAGGTCCCTTGTAACCCAAACCAGTGTGGGATTCTAGGAATGCAGAAAGCTTGAGGAACAGATGAACCAGGCCCCACCCAAAATACCCCTAAAAACACCTTAAACAGGAAAAAAAAGCATTTCTGACTCTTACAGCAGCATTTCAAATGGGTCTGCTAGAGAAATAGATTCACCATGTTTTACCCCAGATATAAGGGCAGAAAAGGAAGTTTTAATGTTAAAGGACGCTGGAAAGAGATTGATTTTTAAAGTAGGCTTTGCCAAATGGCTCCTAAGGAATCCATGGGCTGCAGGGCACTGCAGAGTGAGGGCACAGCAGCCTGAGCCCGGGGCAGGATGGTGACAGAGCACTGAGCTGAAAAAAGCCAAATCTCCTCCTATTCCAACTCAGAGCCCACATCCAACAGCCCTCCCTGAGAGCTGCCCTCGGTTCCTCATTTAACACCAGCTCATGAAATGCAAAACCCCAGCTAGAGACACGCTGCAAACCTCCACCTAGAGCACACGGTTACGTAAACTGCATCTGCATCAGACACTGTGGCTATGCATAATTTATCCCTATTCCCATCCACACGCAGTAATTAGCCCTTGCTGACACTTAATGAATGGGAATTCTCATAAAAGTTCTCCAGTTTTTGTGCTCCATGCAAACACATTCAGTGACTAATTTTTGGTTCTTATCTAAATTCGAACTGTTCATCTGAAGCAATGAATTGGTTGTCAACTGAAACTTTTTTAAAACTGGTTTTAACAACAGCAAAAACACAACACAAAACGATCTTTTAGAAGCAAAAACACAACACAGAATGATCTTTTAGAAGCAAAAACACAACACAGAATGATCTTTTAGAAGCAAAAACACAATGAAGGATTGTCTTCTAAAGCAAAACCATTTGAGAGGTGCAGTGCTTCCCCCTGAAGTCATGCGTGCTGCAGGGGGATAAAGGAAGGGAGCAATAAAATCAGGCAGACTGGAAAGCAGCAGTGATGCACTTGGTTATCTCACTGTGCTAATCCTCTGTCAGGTGACTGCTCACAAGATTTCTTTAAGCCCTCATTACTGAGGTAGGGCTCCAGAAGTAGGACGGACACTTTGGTGACCCCAAAATAACGTGTCTGACCTCAGCAAGAGCTTGGGGGGATTTGCAAACCACCCCAAAGGAGGTGGTGCCTCACAGAGAGGAGCTGGGAGGGGAGTCAGGAACGTCTCCTGCTCTAAAGAAATCAGATTGAAACGGTATAAATCAAACAGCTTTTGCTCTCCAGCCAGAAGACAGGAATTAGTGACTTCAGATCTAATTCCAGGAGCTCTGAACCTGCAGCTTGGCAGAGATGAGGTCTTTAATTCTCTCATTAAAAGCCCTTCCAATTGAGGAGATATTAATTGTAGTTTTTYACAATAATAAGCTCAAATCATATGACAACAAATCCTACGAGTCAGTTGGAGATATTTATACCAGGACAGGTTAGAACCTGTTTGTTGTGCTTCAGATGCTTCCACCAGCTCGAAAATACTCTCCTTAAATGTGAACTCAAGGCAGAACAGGTTCTCTTCCCCTGCTTCRAGCCATGGGGACTACCTGGCTGTCACCACTCACTGTCACCTGCTCCAGCACCCACACAGGGTGTTTTGGAAGTTGGGAAGTCACAGGTACATTTACAAAACAAATGCCACACAGAGCACTGTAATATTCCACCAGATTGGTCTAACGTRGGAGGGAAAAAAGAAAAGCAAAACTCCAAGCTCACCTTGATCATTTCTGCCACGTAACTCTCTGGTCCTGTGTATTCTGTGGAATCTTTGACTTTCACCAAGACAATAAAGCACAAATAGTGCCACATGTTGTGCTCTTCTTTAATGTGCTCTTCAAAGGTGACTGTCTTGTTGTCAAACTTATCTCTCTCCAAACCTGTGAGAGGAACACAGGGAGAGCCCTGAGCTGGGAGCCAGGAAAATCAGCTCTAGAACAAAACTGATTCCTACAGTCTGCTGCACTTCTGGAAATCCCAGTCATTCTGGAATGGATGCTGAAAAACGGGGATAAACTCTGACAAATGCCATAGGAGAGGAGAAGGTGAACAGAAAGAGAAAGAGGAGAGAAGGAAGAACAGAAATAGGAGAAAG